TTTAAAGTTTAAGGACCAAAAAGAGATTCTAAGTTTAGGATCAAATCAGTGACCTGAGCAATAGTTGAGGGACGAAATAAAGGTGTTTAAAAAGATAAGGCCAAAGTCTTGTTTGGAGTGCCCCACAACGCACCTCCATTTGTGTTTATGTAAAGCAAAACAAGGACACGTTGATCCATTCCCTAACATACGCAATCTTATCCACCTTTCCTACCCTTTTCCTCTGTTATGAACCATTCAAACTTGGAAGATTTTTCAGTTTTGATTAAGGCTACACTTGAAGAGGACCCGAGTTGCTCCTGCTTCATAAAGACAGATACAACATTTGGCAACCTAATTGTTGAGCTGTCGTTCTCAATATACCCCAAATTTCTTTATTTTGGGAACAGAAGGATGTCCACATTAACAAACATATATATCATCCATTCAAAAGGAAATAATATAGACAAAAACTTTTCCCCACTTCATATCTTTAATGACACATGTTCATGGCAATTTGTATGGATTCGGATATGATCCAGTTATCATATGATTACAACTTCCCATCATATTCATGGTTGCAAAATTAACAAACAAAAATGGAGAAAAAAGGAAAAGAACAGGAGATAAAGATCCAAATATATTCATACCACATATCCAATACAAACACTCACTTTGTTTTTTGAACAACTATCCAACGGATAAACAAGGTCTTATTATATTTCTATATACGGAAATAGAATATAAGGCTTTTTACATGCACAAAGAGGTTTCTCTTCAACGTAAAAAGAGCATCCCAACCATTTAAAAGCTGGTTGCTCTGAAAAACCCTCAAGCAGGCTAGCCAGGATCCCAAAAAATAAATCCAAAAGCCTGCAACTCGATTGGGGCAAGTAGACCGCATTTAAGTTTAACCTCTGCTACCTTGGTAATTCCTAGCACGATTGTTACATGGAAGTAGAACACAATAGGACTGTACAGCGATAATAGGAAGCAGAATGGGGTAAGCGAAAACTAACCACGTCATTTAGCAGCAGCAACCAAAGGTTTTTCCTCAGACTCTTTTGGCTTTGGGACAGCTGAAAGAATTGGGAGAGGGAGTTTTGCACCTGAATCAAATGGAACTGCTTCTGATACTAAAATCTCTTCCTGAACAGGAGCAGGAGCAGGGACTGGTTTTACAGGTTTTGGTATGTAGTTGAAGGAGAGATCCTTGTTGGCAGCCAATGCTAAAAGCTCCTTCTCTTCCAGCCCTTTTGTTGGCCCAAGACTGCATCTATCAGGAGTATGTTTGGCCAATGCATCTTTAAATTTCTTAATCTGCAAATATCATTATATTAGAAAACATAACATGATAAAAAATAAAGTAATAAACAGAAAATAAAAATGATGATTAACAAGTGCTATAATTCAACCATCAAACAACCTATGTAAATAGACGACTGAACCTGAAACAGAAATAGTTTCAGTCATGAAGAAAATGAAAATTGTAGTACAAAAGTTCATGCAGTCCGTAAATAATCACTGGTTGCCATGTGAATATACATCTTAACTAGCTAACAAACAGCAAATCAGTCTGTTTAAAGTGGTAGATTTTGTTTTAGTTTCATATTCAATTTCAAGTTCCCCACATTGATTTCTTGTGTATTATCAGTATATATCTATAACAGGGCACAAAACACAGAAGATAACATCCATCAAAAGCATATTTATTCATAAAAATAGATAGAAAAGAAGAAAGAATTATACTGTGGCATTAGTGCAACTAAAACTGCAAAGACGGCCATGGGCCCCTCTGTAGAACCGGAAGAAGGGCAGCACATGGACATTGAGGGTGTAACACATAGATTTATGCTCCTCATAATTCACTTGAAGAAACTGCACATCTGGATTCAATTCTGCCAACTGGCATATCTGCCAAACCACAACACCCGACCAACAATTAACATAAAGAAAAACTAATACTAGCTAGGTTTATCAACCAAGGGAACATAAACAAAATCACATCCACACATGCATACACACTTGAAAGACCATGTATATATTATTATACCTTAGGATGAAGAGCCTTGCAGCCGCCACAACCAGGGGAAAAGAAATCAACAATAACAAGTTTTTCCCCAGCATTCAGAAGGGAGTCCACAAGGTCTTGTGCAGAAGTCACCTCTGTCATGTTTGGTTTTATCTCTTTCTCCCACCATTTTTGAGATTTGCCAATAAGGCCCGTCTGTAAATTCTGCAATAGAAGAAAAAACCCTAAAAATCAATTTTTTTTTTTAATTTATTTATCTTCAACTAGATCAAAATGTATGAAATTGTAATCAAAGAATAAATTTATTTAATTTATACAAAGTAAAATAAGGAAAAAGATGATCCTGTGACAGAAAATAAAAAAGAAAGATCCAACTTCCCTAAAAAATTTTATTTTTATCATGGGATGTAAAATCCTGCCCTAGATTCAATCTTCAAAGCTTCTATTTTTAAATCAATTCTCAATAAAATTAAAACAACTTCCAATTCCTTATCAACCCCATGATTATCTAAAGAAGAAACAGATTCATAAACTAAAACCAAATAAGTAAATCAAACTAACCTGTACATTGATGGAACCTCGAGAAATCCGTTTTCCAGGCATGCATCTGTTCTCCTTCATAACTACCGGTTTCCCATGGAAATCACTCCTCAGAGCCTGAGATTTCACCTTCGGAGAAGGAAAACTCGCTTTTGAACAACGTCCAGAACAGCGTTTGGGAAAAACAGAGATAGAACCACGTTGATTCTGAACACCCTTCACCTTCAGGTCGCAAGATAGAAACAGATTCGTCTTCCCCAGAACCTCAGCCATGCTTTCCCAAACCCAAAATCAGACTCAAAACTCCAAAACAGTCTCCAATTTCCACCCCAAATCTCGATTTCGAAGACAAAGTCAAAAAGCGTTGGATTTGATTATAATTGCTTTCTCACGAAGCCAAAAGGCAAAAGCGTCGTCTCTGATTTCTTTCGCGTTCTGACGGAAAAATTGAAAAGAAACCACGTTTTAAGAGCAAAGAGAGAGAAAAAAAAGAAAAAACAGTTTTGTGGTATTGTTTGGCAAAACATGCAAATCACCCCCTTAACTCATTGACTAGTGGCAAATCACCCCCTCAACCCACTTCATGCGCAAATCAACCCCTCAACTCACATACAGTGGCAAATCACCCCCTCTGTTAAGGCTGACATCATCATTCCGTTAACTTTTAACCATCCATTCATCCATCCCTCCTCTGTGTTTGATGTGGCTTTTTTTTTTGCTGAGATGGATGCTGAGATGTCTCTTGGCCCCACCACCACCTCCTCCGCGTCCATAGAACTCTTCAGGTGGGTCCTACATATACCACCACCATCGATTTCGCAGCATCTACATCTTTCAACAAGAAGAAAGGGAGGTTCTCGTTAATCTTGAACCTTTTCAGGTCCAGATCCGACAAATTGAATTTGGATCCTAGGGTTGATCCTCATTGGGATTCTTACGAGGAGCCATTGTCGTCTCCGTCCTCCTCTTGGTTCTCAACGATCTTCTCTGAACGCCGGAAAAAGCGCCAATCGAGAATGTTCTACATGGACATGAAGGAACTAGCTGTCGGCGAACGGAGATCTTGTAAGGTGGTCAATCGGGGAATGTCGCCTGTTAGGAGTGAGAATACCGAGGACGAGGGTGATGATCGAGCGACGTATGGGAGCTCGCAAGAGGCGTCGCCTCGGTGGCGATGGTAGAGGACACTAGTGGCTTGTCGACGAGGGAAGGCGGCTTGTGAGCAGGGCAGAAACGTGTCCAGATTGGTGTTCTGTATGAGTCCTCTGGTGAAGGGAGCCCGAACCGGCACTGGAATTAGAAGGGAGGATTTCCGCCAAAGATAACATTTATCGGCGAGATTCTAGCTCCTGTGAAGCCATGCCTGGCTGCAGCGGTGCCATTTTGCAAGAATTGATCTAGAAAACTTGCTGATTTTGGCATAGTACATCACAACCGTTGAGAATCGGTGATAAAAATGTGACCGAAAATCCAGTAGGATCAGGACGCGGTGAGGAAGATGATGATGACCGAAAAATAATTTAAGAAAAAATTTTATATTATTTTTTAATATAATTTCAGATATTATTTAAAGAATTAATTTTTTATCTGCTTGATCTAACGATTTGGGTTGGTTTGTCCAGGTGGTAGCTCCATCTCAGCAAAAGAAGCCACATCAAACGCAGAGGAGAGGCGGATGAATGGACAATTAAAAGTTAACGAAATGACATGTCAACCTTAACAGAGGGGTTGATTTGCCATTGTAAATGAGTTGAGGGGTTGCTTTGCGCGTGAAGTGGGTTGAAGGGGTAATTTGCCACCAGTCAATAAGTTAAAGGGGTGATCTGCATGTTTTGCCGTATTGTTTCGTCGGCTGCTTTTTAGGTTAATCTGAGACGTTCAATTTTTTGTCGTGATGTGAATCTGACGGTTAACAGTGCGTTGGATAAGGTTTTCAGTTATAATTTCATTACGTTGGGACGGTTTTTATGGTGATCTGGCGATGCACGTGAACGACAAAATGAACGACACGTGCCACTGTTTTTAAAGTTTGGATAAGCTTTTTCTTCGGATAAATATGAAGGAAGAATTTTCTATACCTATAATTTTATA